TGTGTGAGGGCGCGTGAGGGTGTGGGTGAGCGTACGCGCGTGCTGTTAAAGTGAGGGCGGGGAGGAGGCTGCTCCGTGATTACTCATTAATGTGTTTGTCACGTGAGCATCAGGCTCGGAGTTCGGATCCCGAGAACCCCATGAAAGCCCGGCGTGGGGCGTGGAGCTCGGAGGCCGACCAGCCTGGCCGAGGGTGAGGAGAAAACCCAACTCCAACCTCTGGCCTCTGAGTCCACGTGTGTGTACACACACACACACACACACACACACACACACACACACCCGTTACAGACACTTGTAAGCAAAGTAGGGGAATCAGGGCCCTAGCCTCCATCAGAGAGAGAGAGAGACAGGGAGACAGAGACAGAGAGACAGAGACAGAGGGACAGAGAGAGACAGACAGACAGAGAGACAGACAGGGAGACAGAGAGAGCTAGAGACAGAGAGAGCTAGAGACAGAGAGAGCCAGGTGTCTACAAACGTATAAACAGGGAGGAAGAGGCTTATCGGCCACGACCTGCTCTTCAATTCTCTAAACACCGTCTTAGCAACAGGTCACTAACCCAAAGGAGAGCGGGCCGGAGCGAGTGGCTCTCGGGAGGAGGACAGAGCTTGATCGAGGGGACGGGGTACGCCACGGCCTGCCCACTCCTGCCCGGGGCTTCAGGACTAGTTACACAGAGGGCGTGCTGGGGGCCAGATGCCGTGGGGCGGGGCCGGCGGGCGGGGCCCTCCTCCTCCCCGTCGCTGGCTCGTACCTCCTGCAGCAGGTCGGCCTGCTCGATGGCCTTGAGCACACTCTTCTTGGAGGTGTCCTGGACGTCGCCGCCCATCAGAAACTCATCCAGGATGAAGTAGGCTTTCTCAAAGTTGAAGATGATGTCCAGCTCGCACACCTGAGGGGGACAGAGCTCAGGGCCGCAGCGTACCCAGCCTCCCTCCTGCCTCTACCTCCCGATGGATGCTGGGGCCCCGAGCACCTCCATACTGGCTGTATGTAGAGCTCCAGGTGTGCAAGGCGGGCGCTCTACCAGCCGAGCTACACCCTCAGCCCCACAGTGAGTCCCCGCAGCGACGTGTAGGTCCTTCTGGCCCTCATCCCTCATCCTCATCCTTCATCCTCAGTCCTCATCCTCATCCCTCAGTCCTCATCCTTCATCCTCAGTCCTCATCCTCATCCTTCTGGGGGTGGTACATATCTCTTAACTCAGCTTTTCAGAAGCTGAGACAAGACTGCCTCCTACGCCACGGACTGAGTTCAAGGTCACTTGGCAACTTTGTGAGACCCTGTCTCTAAACAAAAAGTGAACAAGGGGCTAGGGACACAGCTCAGCGGTCAAGCACAGAGCAGCCTGATGCCAAGGCGGAATCCCTAATATCACAAGCCAAATCAATTCATCAATGAACCAACCAACCAGCCAGCCAACCAGCCAGTCATCGACCAACCAACCAACCAACCAACCAATGAACCAATCAACCAACTAATCAATCAATGAACCAATCAACCAACCAACCAACCAATTAATCAATCATCGACCAACCAACCAAATCAATCCATCAACCAACCAATCAATGAACCAACCAATCAAGCAATCATCGACCAACCAACCAAATCAATCCAACAACCAACCAACCAACCAATCATCAACCAACCAAATCAATCCA